ACAGAAACGGGAACACTTGTGGTAAGGGAGCCTAGACCTATGCCTCTAGTAACAGGTCAGAGGAGAGCAAGCTGTTTAAAGCTCTAGACCTCAGCCTTGCTCTGTAGAAAGAAAGGGCATGTATAATTCAATGATAGTTAATGTGTCTTACAGGGCAATTAATCTTTTGGTTCTTGGAAGTATTATTAAATTTTCAAATGCACTCGAAAGCTATGTCTTCAGACAGAATTACGGCAGAAGAATCTAGAGTCCTCTAAAAACAACAAATAAACCTGGGCTTTGTCTCATTCTGAAGCTTTTAAAGAAATTATTAAGGTGTATAAAATGAATATTCTATACACAAGTAGTCATAGTTTCAGAATTTACATTGCCACTATTTCTAAATAAGAAAGTGCTTTCTCTAGATATTTTATGCCAGCACAAAGAGATTAAACCATAAAGAAAAACTCTAGAGTACCTTTCAACCATTAAGTTTCATAATTCCATGCTCTGGTAGCTGTTTTTATAGAAGACTTCGTGTTCAGGAAGAGAAATGGGCTTCCCTTGTTAAATTGTAATTCAGATGTGTAAAAGCTCTCATTTGTTTTCTTGGAACAAATAACACCACAGTCGATACTTGACTGTACACACTAATTAATATTTAAGCCAATCGTACTTGTAATGCTTTGTTAGTCTGTAGAAATTTTTCCTTTAAAATGTTTACCTGCTAAATGAGGCCATAAAAACCAGAATGAGGTGGTTCTACAGTTTCCAGTGACAACATATAATCAGCACCCAAAACAGTACTAAGTGCACATTATTTGAATTATTAAATTATATGAAAATAACATAAAAATTATCTGTAAATCACAGAAATTAAGGTCATCTGAAAGTCTCTAAATGCTATCAGCAAACACATTAAATGAAGTCATTATATGTGCGACTTTGTAATGGGTTAAACAACACCAAATAGTCAACATGAAATGAACAAATGATGCATAAAAGGATTGCCCTGACTCTAAATCATTGGCAGACCTTACAGTCACAAGAAGAGAGAAAATATTCACAGATCACATGATTCTATCCTTTGAATAATTTAATTCCCCCACACTGATCTGCACATAATTTAATCTCACTCAATAGTCCAGATTGCTTTCTGCCTACAGACTGAAAAGCTGATTCTGAAAATCAGACAGAATGCAAAGGCGTTAGAATAGCCACACTCTCTTCAAACTGGAGACCATGTAGTCCCTGCCTTCAAGATTGTCCCAATGCTAAACAACCAGCATAGTGTGTAAGGCCATGAGGTTCTCTGAAAAAAAAAAAAAAAACACATGTCCAGAAATAAACACACCTACAATGGATTTTTCCTATTTAAAAAAGAGTTTATTTATGTCTAGGTGTTACCGTAGCAGCATGTGTGTGCAACACTTTCAGAGGCCAGAAGAGAGAATTAGAGTACTTGGAACTGGAGTTACAGAAGTTATGAGCTACCATGTGGATGCTATAACCAAACCTAGGTTCTCTGCAAGAATAGGAAGTGCTCTTAACTGCCGAGCTGTCTCTCCAGCTCTACAAACAGATTTTCAACAAAATAATTCAAGGTAATTCAGAAATTTTGTAATTGTTGCACAATAGACACAAATGAAATTAATTTCAACCCCCTATCTCAAACTATATGAAAAAGTTAATTTGAGATCTACCATGATATGAGACATAATAATGAAAACTATAAGCTTGTAGGAAAAAAAATGTCAAGAGCATCTTTGGTCACAGGTGTAAACAATGATTCTATGAGTGGGCATGTTCACCTGCATGGTGCATGGGGATCAGAAGACTGGGGCTAAACAGGAATATCCGGACATTTCTCAGGATATAAAGAAGTCCCATGTGATCACAGGAATATGGATCATTCAAGTACTTGTGTTGTCAAAACTCATAAAAGCATAACACTTTAGTATCTGTGCATTTAAGTGTATACAAAAAAACACATCATTTTTTAAAATTAGAAAAATCATGAAGAATGTATTGTGAAGATTATTCAATCGGGGACCTTGTAGAAATGAGGCATGCGGAATTGTGGGCCAGCTCTTTTTGGCTTATTTTTGGTTGTGTTTGACATTTTTTTTATTATTCATTCAGCAATTATTGAGCAACTATTATTTCTTGCAGTAAGCTAGATGCTTTGAGCTTGCACATCAATAAGAAGAACTAACAGGAGTGCCAGATTTCCAGTTCTAACAATCTATATGAAGAATAGGAAGAAACATTTTTTTAAAAAAAGAAAGAAAAAAAAAGAAGGAAGGAAGGAAGGAAGGAAGGAAGGAAGGAAGGAAGGCAAGCCATGATAACCATGGCATTTAAAACCACGAGCAACATGATGTAAGAGCGGAAAAAAGCAAGACGGTCAGCATCCTCCATCTTCCTGAAGCTCTGTGTGTGTGTGTGTGTGTGTGTGTGTGTGTGTGTGTGTGTCCCTATCTGTCCTAGTAGTTCTCTCTTTAGCCGACCTCAAACTCACAATTACCTACTTGCCTCTGCTTCCCAAGTGCTGGGATTAAAAGCATGTTCCACCACCACCCGGTACTTTTTTACTTTTTTTTTTAGGTTAAGACATGCCTGTACTTCCAATGCATTTTTGCCTTATTAATTAATCATGATTTAGGGTTATGTCAAAAATAGTATGTACATGTGCATCTTTCAAAGACTGACAATTTCCCAAGGTTGTTTTATTCTTCCGTGGTCGGCAGTATGGGACATTTGCATAAATATATATCAAAACATCAGCTGGTGTGACTGAAAAGGTGGATCCAAGGACAGTGTTCCTTATGCTAGTGAGTCACAGCCAGATAGCGGTACCAAGTCAAAGAGCATCCTTCTGTCTAAAACACCAAAGACAAGCCGCCCCAGTGCAAGAGAATCCAACGCCCAAGTCATTAAGATGTAGTTGCACATGAAAGATTCACTGCAGATAATTCAAACTAGACAAGAAGAATATGCTATAAGAATAATTTTTCTTCATGTCACAGTATCTGGCACTGACGATAAATAAGTTCTCATTTTTCTCTCCCAGTGTCCTGCTATGAAGGAGCCAGAAGAGCCGACCTGTTAACGGCCGCTACTAATAGCAGCTTTGTGGAGTGGCCCTCAGCTATAGGGAGACTTCTCTGTTTACAAAACAATAACATTAATGCCAGAAACTCAAACAAAACACAATAGTTCCATTGGCTTAAAACCTTCTACAATGGCAAGTAAGGTGGCAGACTGCACAGTAAGGACTGGTATAGTTTTTCTGTAACTAGAAACTGCACAAGAAATTAAGCTAAGTACTTGCATGTTTGTTCTTAGTCACTGTTCAAAATGAAGGAAGAATCAGTCTCATCTTCAGTTTTACAGGTGCATCCTGGGCCCTGAAACTCAAATCCACACAGAAGGCTCTGAATCTTCCAGAGGGTGCATGGAGCCCTGTTCCCTGCACACACATGATTTTGCTCATACAGCCGTCTCCGCTTGCTCACACATCTGGCTCCAACTCAAGTCCTTTTCCTTGGCAAAGCCTTCCTCAATGAACTTAGCTCGCATCACACCATAGCCTTTGATCCCACTTCTGTGATTAAGAGCTACCTAAAGCCATTTACTGCCAGAAGCATCCCTTTTCAGGGTTTCAATACCAGCTTGGGGCACTAAAAGCATTAGTTCTTGCAGAACCCAGTTGAATCCAGGTTGCCTTCTCAAAACTGGTTATAAATTTGGTACTTTATAGCTCATAAGTGTTATTATGGGTGGTTGCCTGTACAGCTTGTAAAATCACATCTGAGACACAATGTATCAGGCTGAGATACACAGATCAACAGTGCTTTACATAACATCTTTTTCTGAGAAAAAAAATAACATAATATGTAGTATGAAATTTTGATCTCTTTCTATACTACCAATACCAGGCTGGTAGAAATGTCTATATGATCAAGAAAGGCTTAAATGATCATTGAGAATAAAATATCTCACTGAGTCCTATAAATTCCTTATGGTCACTAAGGAACCCACAGTACTCCTTGCTACTCTACTCTATCCAAGCCTCTGCTACAGCCTCAGTAACAGCCAACCCACACGAACTTCAAATGCTTTCTAGCAGCTTAGAGACCTAGGGTCAGGAGGCAGGTAATGGTTGTGTTGGACCACATAGCACGCCATGGCTTTATTTGGCTGGTTGTAGAATAGCACACAAGTTTACATAAGGCACCATTGTTGACCTTCTCTTCTGCTTATCTACAGAAGCATTCACTAGGGAAGGGGTTAAAAGTAAATAGAAAGAAAAAAAATGATTTATAGATCCATCTCTTGGATATGAAATGGAGTCAATACAAATATAGAAGTAAATACTTTGAAACGGAGATGGTCTTAAAAGTCAAGCTAAAGCTAGCCACTGCTTGTTTCCTTTCATATCCAGTCCTTTGAGAGATTTCCATCTGGTATGTTTTGTAAAACGCAGTAGGATGTAGCAAGAGGGGGTGCCTCAGTCGGCCCATGCCATACCATGGTATGGTACCTTAGCGGGTCCCAGCCATACAACACGTCTAGTATAAAATGAAGTTTATTGGAGAGGGGGCATGAGAAGAGAGGGTTGAGAAGAAAGTAGAGAAAGGGAAAAAGGAGAGAGAGAGAGAGAAAAAGAGAGAGAGAGAGAACACAGAGAGAGGACAGATGGAGAGGAGAGAGAGAACAGAGAGGACAGAGAGACGGAAAAATAAGAGAAGAGAGGAGAGGAGGGGGGGAGAGAAGGGGAGGAGGGAGGAGAAAGGAGAGAGGAGAACTGGAGAGAGAAAAAACTGTCCTTTTATACCAAGCCAGGGTCCTACCTATCTGTTGCTAGGTAACTGTTGGGCAGAGCCTAGAAGAAATGCTAACATGCTAACACCATCCATAAGAGTTAATGCACTAAGAATCATTGTTCTGCTTTGAGGAAAGGCAAAGATTTTGCAGAGAGCCTGATTTGGGACAAACAATTAAGGGACTTCTCTTACCTCTGAGTTCTCCCAGATCCAGAGACGTTCCGAGCTGCTCTAGCAAGGCGACCCGTGCTGCGTTCTTTTTGTGTTTCTTGCCGTCGTAATGCTGCTGGGCCATCAGAGGATTATTAAACCAGGCTGCGCAGAGACCACAGTACCTGTCTGAGTCCCTTCTTTGATAGGGAGATGTGACCACGGGGGCCGTGTCCACTCGAGGGGCCTTAAGTGAACTCAGTGGTGCGGCTGTGGGAGAAAGCAACAACATGTCAGGGCACACTTCCCTTCAGCACCAAGGAATCCACAGCCCATGCTCAGGATGGCAGGGGCTTTATCAAGACCAAAAAAATTACCTTTGCCAACAATCATTTTTAACTGGGTACAAATAAGAGTCTCTAAACTAAAGTGCTGAGAGCAAAGATTGTGTAGTTTTGTCTCAACATGCTCAAGAGATGGTTCCTTTGTGAAAATAGTTTTAAATTAAAGTCTTGAAGGAATTTTCTGTCAATCACCTTGAAGCACAACCAAGAATAAAAGGCTCTGAATGGGTCAGCTGGTGCTAAGGTTGAAAGAGCCAATAAACAGAGTAGTTGGCTAGCTGACTTGCATGCTACCAACTAAGGAAGCCATGCTACCTATGTCAGCTTTTTATTGCCATAGGCTATTTCAGACCATACCTGCTAACACTGACTTTGAAAGTCCAATTTCTCTCCCAGAAAGACCAGACGAGACACTTTCCCGAGCAGATGTTGCTTTATCTAAGCTGAAAGGGCACATATCACTATTTTGAGATTGTACCCCCAGCTATTAATTTAACACATCCCATTGTGAACGTACAGTTATTTCTAGCCTAGGGAAAGAATAGAATTGAACTTGAAGGAGTTTACTAATGGAAAGTAAAAATAACTTCTGTATGCTTTCAACATACAAAATGCCTCTCTCCTTACAATGAGCGTGCCTGGAGTTACTGTCCTATTTCTCAGATGACTGACTTCAAAGACAGCAAGGGGAATGGTATAAAGGTGAGAGAGAGAGAGAGTTATGGATGGTACATGACCAAATATTTAAGCTCCAAAGCCAACAATGTTCCTTCTGAGAACCACCCCCACCCCACCCCACCCCCATCAAGAACACCTTTCATGCTTAGGAAACACAGGGGCTAAAGAAGTCTGTCACCTCTTTGTTTTATAGAGGATTGCTCTGAATCGCTGGAAGAAAATGTTTCAATCCAAATTATTTTGGAGAAAGAAACTTGTATTCAGTCTCGATGGCTCATTAGTCACAAGCAATTTAGCTGCATCTTCCACATGTCCCTAAATCTCCGTGACAAGGATCTGTGGTTGACAAAATCATGACAATTAGGGTATTCTTCCAAGGGAAAGCAACAGCTTGGGACGTCAAAGACAAGTTAAAGAACTAATTAATCAATTCCTTGAGCTTCCAAAGTTTTATGGGGGAGGGGCCTTTTATGTTTGCGTTAAGTGACTGATATACAAACACATACTTGCAATATGACAGTTACATCCAAGCACTGTGGATCGTGACAGTGTCTCAGGCAGTCTCCCTTTAATCTTGAGTGTTCATCATAGTTGTAGCTAAGATTAAACTAAATGGGCCTACGTGTGGAGGGACTCTGATACATTTAATGTTTTTTAAAAGCCTCCCTTCTGAATTCGGTCAGCTGGAACCATACAGAAATGAAGTGCAAATGTGGGCCATATGTATCAGCTGCCATCTGGTGTCATTCCGTCATGACTTAGCAACACTAATGAAAGCTACAAATATGCAGTCGACCTGTTGAAGGAAAGAAATCCGTCTCCTATCTCAAAGAAATTGCACCTTGCTTCTAAAGTTTCCTTAGGTCCTTATCGGTTTCTGAAGATACACAGCTACATGGCAAGGGGAAACACATCAAACATTCACAGTCTGAATGAGCAAGGACTCCTGAAGCAGGACTGTTTTTCTTTCTATCGAATGCTAAAAGGGATTTCTCGGTCATTTTTGTTACTTGATACCTGATATTCTATATCCTGCCAGGAATGGCACTCAAGAAAGAATCTATCAAATAGATAAGCATGTGGGCAAACAGGAAAGCTGTTGTCTCTTCTGTTTGTGTTATAGAATTGATCTCCCAAAATTCCAACTTCTTAGTGCATAACCCTGAAAGTTCATTTTCCAACTACCTCTCCATCTCAAGCAAGTTCCCAATCCTTTCATGCCCATAAAGTAAACAAAGGCATAAGCACAGAAGCAGCCTTGAATCAGAGTTAGATCCTGTCTGGGGCTTCAGCTTCCCTGAACCATGTAAGCTTCCTGATTCCTGACATCTTTGGTTGCCATGAAGCAACACCTCAGGGCCACCATCTCTTCTTAAGGTGGCATATTTATGGTCACAGGCTCACTGGGTGGGAATGAACAGGCTGTAGAAATGCTTACTTATTTACAGCTTTGACTCCATGGCAAACATAGAAATTTGTATAGGAGGAGCACAGTATCTAGGTTTTAGTAAAATCTATGTGTACATGGATCGTAACACAATGCTTGTGCAAGTGTACTGTCCTTACCAAATAAATACAAAGAGGAATACTATCGTATTTGATTGAAAAAACATCTTGTAGGCAGCATGTAATTTTACTTTGCTTTCATATTTTATGTATTCTACTTGTAAGAAAATATCTAGTGCTGAATTCACCTACCCTTCTCAAATTTAAACCTAGGAAAGTTAACTACTCAAAACCAGTGCCTGTATTGTTTTTAACATTTGATTCATTTAAATGTCTATGTCCAGACTGTCCTTCAAACCAAACACAGAAAAGGAAAAGAATCAAGTCCAAGGGTATTCTCACACAGTCCTGCACTCTAACTTTGGTACAAGTTTCTAATGTTCTGCCAATGCTGAGAATCACAGCATTGACATATTTCCTTAAAAATTACCGTAAAATAGCAGTAGTGGTACATGCCTTTAATCTCAGATCTCCAGAAGTAGAAGCAAGAAGGCCCTAACCCCTAACCCCTAACCCCTAACCTCTAACCCCTAACCCCAACCTCAAGCCCAAGCCCAAGCCCAAGTCCAAGCCCAAGCCTAAGCCTGAGGAGGAACTGAGTTCTAGGTGTACTTCCTTCAGCTCAGTTGAGACCAGCCTAATCTATGGAGTGAGTTCTAGGACAGCCAGGGCCAGGGGCACACAGAAAACTCGTGTCTCAAAAACCAACAACAGTAACAGTTGAAAGACAAAACAAAACAAAACAAAAAACAACCCATAAATACAACTCTCTTAGATCTCATGCAAAAGACAGCCCCACAACATACAACAGCAGCAGGGCTAGTTCTTCTATAAGCAGTAGGAAAATTGTCACATCTATTTTAGCATCTTATAAAAATACAGCTCTCAAAAAAGCTGGTATTATATATTAATACTACTAAAGTTAAATGGCAATTTTGACTGTTTTCCCAACAAGACTTTTCAGAAGTTGGGAAGTTGTTACCATGACCCACCATTGTCTAACTCTTAGCAGTGGGGATGTGGCTCCTAGCGGTATCCATCCTGTAGCTACACTGTCCTATAGGACGCTCCTCAGTGCATCTACTGAATGAGGCCCTGACAATCTGAGAAGGAGCCCATTCTCCATCCTCTAAACTGACAACCGTCTCCTGACTATACCATTCACTCGGCAATTCTTAAAACCACACTTGTAATCTTAGTCATATAAGTGTGTGTTTGTGTGGATGTGTGTAAGGAAAATGAGATGATAAACTTTCACAGATAGGTTTGCATTCACTGCCTTCTCCAGTATATAGCCACAATCCCTCATTGCAATTCAAAAACAGTTTTTAAAAGAACTAGGAAGAATCAAATTTCTCCATGACTCATTTAGTACAAGCACTTGACCTGAAGTCATGCAATAGTATTTATAGGCTATATACCAGTTAGTATAAAGCATACTATCTATTCCCAGGTTCATACACTCATTACATGCTGCGCATGTATCAGGATATGAATTGGTTAGCATTTATTGCCAACTTGATGCCAACTACAGAAAAGAACTCCCTTTGAGAAATTGCCTCCATCAGATTGGCCTGTGGACATGTCTGTCTATGAGAAATTTTCTAAATTGTTAATTGATATTGGCAAGTACAGTCCACTAAGGGTAGTGCCAATCCCTAGGCTGGTGTATTCAGGTTGTCTAAAAGCTAGCTGAGCAAGCTATGAAGAGGAAGGCAGTGAGCAGTGCTCCTCCTTGGTTTCTGCTTCAAGCTCCTGCCTTGGACTTCCTCAATGAAGAATGGTAATCTGTGAGTTGAAATAAACCCCTTCTTCCCCAAGTTGCTTTTAGCCATGGTGTTTATCAGCACAATTGAAAGCAAACTAGCATAGTATGTATGTAGAAGCCTGCATTTTCTCATTTTCAAAACATTTTCAGCCTAAATGCTTCGACTAAAAGATCATGGGTCTGTAGCCAGTGAACAATAACCCAAGCAGACACCAGTTTCTCCAGGAATTGAGTCCTCAGACTTGACTTAGAAGAGTCACATCCCCAACCTTAAACACATTTCATATACTTCTGCATGCCTTGGACATAGTTGTCAGGGAATAGCATCTCAACAGAGGGTGACTAGGTGAGTTGTCTTGAAGAGTAACCGGTAATCATAATGCACCTTGGAGCCTTGTCTGTGTCTTTGACAAAACCACCAGCTGATTTGAGGAGATGAATGATTTCAGTGTCTGCACTGCTGTCAAAATCCTTCTTTAGTCTGCAACAAGAAACTCTACTTGCAACCCTACTCTGCATGAGAGGTGACCAGATAGTAGTGTATATCTTTCATTGAATGAAGGAATAACTAATTAACTAATTAGTAAATAAATGGTTAACATTATAAGCAAGTAAAATTTAGATGGAAGCAAAAATTTCCCTTTCCTTCAAAATTATGCCATACAGGGCTTGAGAAACTTGGGTCATGATAGCCAACGTATGTATAAGCAAGGAGTGACAAGCTGCTGGAGGGATTTACACCGAAGCAGAGGGTGGGGTGAGCAACTTGTCAAAGTATGGATTTACACCCTAGGCTTCCGGTTTCTTTCAGAAATATTAAATTAGGTCAGTTGGAAGTTACTATTTTCTAATCACTATCATTTTGTAGGGTGGCCTATTTATTTTTTAAAGACTATACATTGTGCATACTGTTCAAGAAATTCACTTTCAAGTAGGAAGTTGTATCTATCCTGGAGTCTAGATGATTTCTTTGG